CCTCAGCTATCTAGGGCCAGTCTCCTGTGTTTTTGCGACTCGAGTTTCCTCGGGGCTCACCCTAGAGAGTGGCTGCAGCTTGATGGCTAGTAGAGGGCAGGCGTTCTGTCCTTCCTGAGCTCCTGCAGGGCTCCCCAGCCCCCCACTGCTGGTGGCAGCAATGCTGATGCCTGCGATGTCCTTTGTTTACTGACATGGCAGGAAATATTCCACTTCTCACAGGTAATGTGCTGGACTCTGTACAGACTTTATTCATAGCCACATCCTACTTTTCTACCTAAAACTTCCTGTGGCTTCAGGTTGCTTTCTTATTTTTAACTTATTTTATACTGCATCTTTTCCTTTGTAAAACACCTGAAACCTTAACACTTTTTTTTTTTCTTTACACAGGCAGGTAATATGTAAATACTCACAGCTTCTCTGAAACCTTGCCACAACCCTTGAATGTAGATATTGGCATCACCTTTTGTTTATTTTGATTTATTTCTTTGTTTAGGCCATACCTCATGCCTTGTGGGATCTTAGTTCCCCAAGTAGGGATGGAGCCTAGGCCACGGCAGTGAAAGTTCTGAGTCCTAACTATTGGACCACCAGGAAATTCCCTGGTATCACCTTTTAAGACGTGAACACTGAAGACTAGAGATCTCTGTTCAGTGACTGGACTAAGGTCTAAGTAATCATCACTGGAGGAGCACAGGCTGTCTGATTTCAGAGTACATGATATTTTTAGGGCACAGTGTTATTTTGCTTTCTCTTCATAGATCTGTCCTTATTGCTCTGCTGAATTTTAGTCTGCAGAACTGGGATTGTGTCTACTATCTCTTGGGAATACTGTGCATTTCTTATGGTGGCATAAGAACAGTTATCTACAGGGAAAACAAGCTTTTCTCTTAACTGTCCAGAAACCCCTCAAATGAGAGAATGGGGGGTAGAAAAATCTGATACTAAAAGCATTCATTTTCTATCATTTATCTTATACTTCACTTGAAGCTATTCAATACTTTCGAAGCTGCAAGAAATACCTTACAGGAAAAAAAAATCATCTCAATGATTACTTTAATGCACAACCTTAGCTTCCTGGCATTTCCTTCATTTCCTCAGGGGAAGGTTATTTCTCCAACTTATTTCTTTCCAGTGATTGCTAGGATTTCAATTTCTTTAGACTTTTTGCATTAGAGGAAGAAACACATCTGCTTTTTCCCCCTCAGCTTGGGGAGTTCGGAGTTCATCATAGTCTTTCCTTGTTTAACCACCTAAAGAATTTGAATTTCAAAAAACAAATTGCCTTTTAGGATAGAAAGTTCAAAATCAAAACATATCAGCTTCACATCCTCAAAATTGGGAAAGGAGAAGTTTAATTTTTTACTTCTGCTTTCTCTTCATGTAGGAAAAAGGGATCTTAATAAACGATCTTCTGAAAGGAAAAAGAAGAAACCAACAAAGGCATGCGTTGCACGTTCTGTCCAAGGAGTTTTACCCCCTGCAACTTTGGTTTGCTGTCATCAAGAGGACATTGTACAGAGCAGCCATAATGTGGGCTGAGGATTCAATTATTTCACAGTCTAGGCGATTTTAGGCAAATCCACTTTTAATCAGAACTACAGTTCAATGAGGTCAGTAGTGCTTGCTTCGGCAGCACATATACTAAAAATCAATGAGGTCCGTATTTTACAGCTGATGAAACTAAGGCCCAATCGCTAGCTAACCCATGACCAACATACAAATTCAAGTCCATGCATTTGCCATCAAGCTGAAGAATCTATGTCTTAAGCTTGCCCGTCTTGGTCAGGAAGTTTCTACTTAACTGTAGTCCAAAAATAAATCTTTATTACAGTTAATAAATATAAATATTAACATCACTGTATTTAGAGGAAAACTGTTAAGATTAAACTTCCCAAGCCACCACCACACATGGATTAGAGTTTAGAGCACTTGCCGCCAAGGGTTCAGAATAGGATTTCTGAGAACTGGAAAGGGTCTTAGAAATGATTTTACAGAACAAGGTCAGGTTGTCTCATAACATTTATATCTCTTTCTCCATTTTTCTCAATTGGGAGGCGGCGGGTACAGTATAAAGTCTGTGACACACGGGGGTCTAAATTTATCTTTATTAGCTAGGCATGTCCAGCTCACTAAATCCATTTTTATGTTAATGACAGAGGTGGAATAGATGGCATACCAGCTCTATTGTTATGTGAACCTGTTGCTTATTCTAACAGGAAAATCCCAATTAGAAAAATCAAATTGTTACAACCTTAGCTTAACCTTTAGACTTTCTTGCTTCAAAGTTGCTTGCTCTCAGCAGGGGCCTGATTTTCATCTCTGCTGTAGCCATCTACACCTGATCACCTGTCACACTTCTTTTCACAAAGGCAGCTGGCGAGGCAGGGATGTGGTGGGAAATGTAAACCCTCGGTACCAGAAAATCAAAATCGTCTCCCTAATTCACAAAGTTTTTGAAGATTTTTCTCTGTAGGTTTCTCTGTGCCATGTTCCTCTGTTTGTTCTTTACTCCCTTTAAAAAAACTATCTCTAAAACCTCTCCTCTACCCTCTCAGTAGAGTTGAGCTTGTTTAACAGAAATACGTCTCAAAAAAAAAAAAGAAAAAAGAAATACATCTCAGTTGCTTCCCCAAAGCAAAAGATTATTTTACAATCTGAATTGGGAAAAAGATGACTTGAGCAGTAACTAATAATCACATACTCCTTACTGGGTTCCAAGCACTGTCATACATACTTTCCGTTCATGAAGGCATTTAACCCTCGGAGCTCTGAGTAGATACATACATCCTTTACTATCCAAATCTACTCAGTTCCTGAGATCAGGTTAGAAATCAGAGTTCAGTAAGTCTTAAAGGTCAGAGAAACTTCATTATCTGAATTTATCTTCGTTTACCCGCTTGGGATAGGGTAAGGCCTGACCTTAAATAAAGCAAATAATGTCATTCAAAAGTGCAAACCCATCTGGTTCCTTTATTGTAACAGCAAGGGTTTAGGAAGCATTCATACAGGGATAGATATTTATCCCATCATCCCCATTTTACAGATGAGGAAACGGATGCACAGGCAGGTTGAGTAAGCTGCCCAAGGTTTCACGGCTCATGTGGCAGAGCCAGAAATCTTTCCTAGGCACTAAAGCACCAGGGTCAATATCAAGTTTGTGCTAGACTGCCCAGCTAAAGCTATTTTTTTCTTTGTGGCCAGTGGTATCATCAATGCACATTACCACTGGAGCTTTTCCGGGAATGTGTTTGAAGAGGCTTACCAGAATTCCCAAACTTTCTCAACAGACTTTGATGATATGTTCTGTTAGCACCAAGATAAAGAAGTTTTAGATAATGCAACTAGCTACTTTTTGTAGTTTAATAGTTTAATGACATGGCTTGAAGAACCATGATGTTCCCTTTAGTCAACATCTTGAATTAATTCCACCATTGCACATGAAATGGTGATATTTCTCCTGTAGAGTCACAGGAAAAGCAGACGTCCCACAGCAGAAAAATGCAAGTTGGAGGGCAGTGTAATTGGAGCTATCTGGGAGATCCTGCTTGCAATCTCTGAAAACTTGGGGCCTCTTCAAACCATTGTTTGTCCTCAGCTAACCATGCTTGTGAGACCAGACCATGGCTGTATTTAGTCCTTTAATATTTCCTCAAGTATTTAATCAATGATATGGGCAACAATTTTCCTTCAGACCTCAGCCAGGGCCCTCATGAGATTGTGCTAAAGCTTGGACATGCTCTCCCATGTGTCAGCTGACTGACGTCCAGATGAAAACCAAAGGGTGGGCTCATGTTTACAGGTTAAAGAAAATCTTAGGTAGTAAGTTGATAGTGTCTTTATAAATTTTAGTGAAAAATGAACTCCTGCTTCATTGTGAAATCTATTTACACATTCATGTAGCAACAAGGCTAGGCATAAAGTAGGATTATAATTACATTCAATCAGTAACAAAGAAAATATATCTCCTTGGAGGTCTTCCAGATAATAAGGACTCTGTTTACACTTGGCATTCCAAGTGTCTGCCTCTTTGTCATCATGTGGTAAAATGGTCAAAGGTATATGGCCATGTGCCAGGAGCCACTCTTTAAACACAAGGCAAACTCCTGGAATATGCTTCAGTTTAAGAAGAGGAAAAATGTCATTGTAGTGAATTGCAATGCAAAAAGGACATGAGGTTTAAGACAAAGCTCTGAGACTTAACATGTCAATGTGAAGTTTCCAAGTACGCACCAGGTATCCTTGGTGATTTTGGATCCTCTGGTGGAAAGTGCAGAGATTCAGTGTCTAAGGCACTCAAGGAGAGCCAGACTTCGAAAATCTAGGTTCTAGACAAGACTCATCATTTGACCTTGGATGAGTCACTTGCCCACTGAATGAGCCTGTTTCTTTTTCTGATTAAGAGAAAGGGAGACTGCATGATCTCTAGAGTGCCTGTCAGTTCTAGAAGGCTTGTGGTTCTTATTTATGGTTTAGAGCTTTGACTAATTTGCCTAATTTTGCCTAATCTATCATTTCTACTGGATCCTACCTGTTTACTCAGTGTGGAGGTTTCACATCTCTGAAATATCCCCTGGAGATCCCAAAGACCTGACCAAATCTAAACTGTTAAAATTCCACTTATTAGCGTATTACTGCTCAGGCAATGAAGGCTAACCAATACCTTCAAGAGCAAGATACACCATAAAACATGTTAACCAATATCCAGACTCATCAAAACTCGAGTTTCTTTTCTCTATAATCCCTGGTTCCTCAAGTATCCAGGAGGTAATTTTTCAGCGTTCATGCGTGCATGCTCATTCACTAAGTCATGTCCAACTCTTTGCGACCCCATGGACTGTAGCCCACCAGGCTCCTCTCTCCAGGGCATTCCCCAGGCAGTGATACTGAAATGAGTTGCCATTTCCTCCTCCAGGGGATCTTCCTGATCCAGGCATAGAAACTGCACCTCCTAAGTCTCCTGTATTGCTTGTAGATTTTTTACCACTGAGCCACCAGGGAACAGTTCACCAGATTTTAATTGCATATACCCCCTACTGTAAATTTCATAATTGTGTTGTTTTTAGTTGAAATGCCCTGAAATGAGTTTTCAAGTATTTACATACATGAAACAAAGAAATATAACAGAAGGAGTCAAGAGTAAAACTTCTCTTAAGCACATACATAAATTCAATAATACATATCACTTGAATATTTTTAAAATTTTTTTAAATTTAATAACCATTGTCGTATTTTCTCACAATTTATACAATTTAAAAATAAGCCTGTGAATTCACGTAGATTTTTTTAAAATACATCATGTGTTTGAATCACAAAATGATTAGCAAAATCCATTACTTCATCATTCACCATCCTCCATAAAAACCTTATTGAACAGAGTACTGAGGAAAAAGCAGACTGCTGTTCAACGGGAAAGTATATTTAAAATCAAGGGCACTTTTAATTGTAAAGGCACACATCTTCACAGGAAGGTATCTATAATCTTTTGCAACCGCAGGAGCAATACTGTAAACGTCTCCAGTCTGTGAATAAGGCATCTTCCCTTCCTGGCTGACTGTGGTCAGCATGAAACCCTGGGAGGGACACCCTACAGTTTCGGAATCGGGGTGGCCGCCAGCGCTATGCTTTCAATCGCACACTCATCGGTTCCCCGGCGGATGCGGAAGTAACCGTCCTCACCCCAGTTGGTGCCCCAGCTGTTTTTCACAGTCCAGTAATCCAGCCCAGAGGCCGCGTCGGTGCCGTAGCCCACGAGCAGCACGGCGTGGTTGGTCAGCTCGAAGGGGTTGAAAGGGTCTCGCAGCCCCGTGTGCTGGTAGACGCCCTGGCGGTAGTGGAGGAAGTCGTTGTAGACTTCAAAGGCGACGGCCATGGGCCCGTGATGGACCAGCTCGAGCTTCATCAGGGCTTCGTTGCAGCCCCCGTAGAAGCCGCCCACGTAGTGGTACTCGGAAGAGTAGTAGCGGAAGCAGCCGTCTTTCGGTCTGCAGGGCGAATCCGTGCCCGTGTAGGGGAAGCAGTCCTCTTCCACCAGCCCGAAGTCCTGGGCGTACTTCCCGGCGATGAGGTACGGGAAGCCGCCTTCACAGCCTGCGGGTGGATAGCACACAGGGTTACCGCCGTCTGGTAGACAGGGCTACGGAGGAACTGTCCCATTTCTCCTGCTTTCTACCCCATTAACTCTTTTTAAAGATTTATTTGATATGTGGCTGTGATGGGTCTTCGTTACGGCATGCAGGCCTTCTGCAGCCGTGGCGAGCGGGGGCTCCTCTCCAGCTGCGATGAGCCGGATTCTCACGGCAGCGGCCGCTCGGGTTGTGGACTCCCTTAGTTGTGGATCCTGGTCTTAGTTGTCCTGTGGCGCGTGGGATCTTCCCGGACCAGGGATAGAACCCGTGTCCCCTGCATTGGCAGGTGGCTTCTTTATCACTGAGCCACCAAGGAAGCCCACTGATTATTCTTACGTCACCCCTGGAAGTTGCTCTTTGCTTAAATACTGCTCCATTCGCCCTTCCGTCAGCCATCTAGCTAACTATCCTCTCATCCCCATCTATCTGACAGACATTTATTTGGCCCCTGATGTGGAAGGTAGCTTCATGGTTAAGTGGGAGGCTCTGAAGCCTATGTAGATTTGAATCCAATACTGAGTTGAGAATTTAATTTCTCTGTACCTCTGTTTACTTATCTGTAAAATGTAGATAGCAATAGCACCTTCCTTGTAGGATTAAGTCATATAATCCATAAAAGCAATAAAACCTTATGATTACTGTCATTATTAAATAGGCAGACACTTCTTCAAGGAAGTTTTCTGTGACCATCTCCTGCAGAAAAGTCTGAATCAGGTCCCCATACCCTTCCCTCCAGTCCTGGCCCTATTATACCTCAGAGACACTGCAGGTTCAATTCCAGATCACAATAATAAACCAAATATCATAATGAAGAAAGTCACACAAATGCTTTGTTTTCCCAGGGTATCTAAAAGTTATATTTACAGTTTACTGTAGTCTATTAAGTGTTCATATTTTCCAAAAGAAACAATACACACACCATAATTTTAAAATGCTCTATTGCAAAAAAACAAAACCCACTAACCATCACCAGGGCATTCAGTGAGTCATAATCGTTTTGCTGGGGGGAGGGTTGGAACTATTTCGAGAACTACCAAAATGTGACAAAGAGACACGAAGTGAGCAAACACTGTCAGGAAAACGGCACTGACAGCCTGGCCCAGCACAGGTCACCACAAACCTTCAATTCGTAAAAACACACTGCGTCTGAGAAGAGCAACCCGAACTATGCCCGCATACACATCCGTAACCCTGTACTTTCTCTTCATTGTTCTCCTACTTACTAAATTTCCATTTTCCTTACTTCACTGTAAGCTTCATGAGGTTACTCTCTGGATACTGCAGAGTCTTCAAGGCACAGAAGTCACAATGTGGGTGTTTAATAAGTATTTCAGGAAGAATAAAAGGCTCACTGACAAATAACTATACACCAGCAGTTGCACCGGTGAACTGAGAAACTTTCAAGCAGCCAAATCTGGGGACGACAGCAGCAAACTTCAAAACGAGACGATTCCTCCCTGAATCCACCCTCTTTCTACATACCTTAGATATGCCCTGTTCTGAAAGCCTATGTACAAAACTTTTACCTCCTTCTAGAGAGAAACCAGTGTTCATACGCTTTCAGTAAGAATTAGGTTTCAGAGAGACACCTTATTTGGAACTGAAACTTGCAGTTAGAAGCTGGGAGGTCTTCGAAATCCTATAGAACAGCTTCACATCTGTTCCTTGTCTCCATGCAGCGTAACAGCTGCTCCTTCAGGGTTCTGAGCACTGCCGGGTAACGTATGTAAGAGGCTCCAAAGAGCCTGTCCTTACTCACATTATAGCAATTACTGATACTGTGCTGGATGCTACAGTGAATTCCATGAGAAAGCACTAAGTAGTAAGTGGCAGGGCCAGAACTTGCACCCAGGTTTTCTGAGAGCAGACACTATGCTCTCTCTGTCCCCCATCCTTATGGTTTTGCCAACAATGGCAAACTACACACAGCTCAACAGTGCCTGAAACACAACACTTACCTTGAGCATACTGACTGCAAGACACAACCTCCTGAGGACTCAAGATTGGGGTCTGAGTATTGTTGGTTAGTATGCGGATTCTTGCTTCCATCATCCCCATAGAAGCAAATGAGTAGCAGCTTCCACAAGACCCTGGTGATGGAAAAGGAAGACATATAACCTAAGAGACTTTGACGCCCTCAAGAAAAGCCAAAGGGAAAAAAAAAAGCCAAAGAAAACCTGAGTGGATGACATACATTAATATAGCTTTATTGAGTGTCGCTGCTTTTTGTTCATAAGGATTAGCACAATAAAGGAGATTTAGTCAACAAACGCTATTGACCTTACAGGCAAATATTAAGATTTCAGCTTTTTCACCGAAAGGCAAACATTACTACATGGGACTTTCCTTGAGACTGCTTTGGGAGGGAAAAAACCTCCTAGCTTCTGCAAAGTACTCGACAATATTCTTAATAATGAAGAAATGATGTACTGACATGTCTGCAATGTTCTGATCCATGAAGTTGAACATTAGGGAGGAAAACGTATGAACTGAACTTCTAAATGTCTCCAGAGAGGTATTTTCTAAAGGAACTTGTTGGGTGGAATTAACTCTAAGAATGGCTCAAGTATAGGTGTATTATTATAGAGAACTGGATACAACCAGTGAAAATATAATAAAAAGAGTAATTATTATATAATGACCAATATGGTATTTAAGATATTCAGTAAAGAAGTAAAGATATTAAACCAGATGGAGGTAGTGAAATTGAAAATAAATTGAAAAGTAGTTGGATGGAAGCAGGGGAAAAAGGAAAAGAAAACAGCTTAATTTAATACCTGAATGCTCTGGCAAAGACAAAATAAATTTATTAAGAAGTATATGCTAGGAATATATTTGCTACTTCAAGAGAAGAAAAAACAATGTATTATGAGGTAATTTATATAAAGATATTTTTTATCTGCTTCTTCAATATGTGAGAAGAGATATATACACAGAATAAAATATAGCATGTATGTAACAAAACTAGATTTCCACTTATTACGATTCCAGAAAGAAATGAACATAATTTTAATATCTCTAGTATAACAGAGCCTCTTTTATCTCTGCCACTGATGTAAATTCTACATGGAGATATACTTGTACCAAACCCCCCAAAAGTGAAAGCTAGTCACTCAGTCGACCCAGGGATTGAACCCAAGTATCCTGCATCCAAGGTCTCCTGCACCCAAGACATTGGAAATTAAATGAAGTTGATATATTATTCAATTTACTAATAACTTTAAAAACCCCAAAAAACTAACAAAACTCATTCTACATAAAGAGAATGCTGCCTTTGTTCTCTTTAATAAATATGAATTCAGTAATTTAGTGACTGCCTTCCTCAGAAAAATATTCATAACATTATACTTTAAAAATATGAGGGGCATCGTTTTTCTCTTCTCCAAGTAAATGTTCACTCATGTCCTTCCTTGAGAATAAAGGAAAGCCAGGATATTCTATGCTCAGTCTCCAGCATGCTACGAAAGAAAGTCAGAGTGTTAGTCGCTCAGTTGTGTCTGACTCTTTGTGGCCCTGTGGACTGTAGCCCACCAGGCTCCTCTGTCCATGGATTTCCCCAGGCAAGAATACTGAAGGGGGTAACCATTCTGTTCTCTGGCGTTCTATGGGGGAGCTTGCCAACCCAGGGATTGAACCCAGGTCTCCCGCATTGCAGGCGGATTCATTACTATCTGAGCCACCAGGGAACATTCTAAACTCTACTTGAATTACTTAATACTGTTTTCCTCAAACTAAACTAGGAATTTCCTTGAGTGTTTACAGGAAATCTGTCTTCTTCACCTTGATGGCAATGAAGGAACTCAGTGCATCTCTGTAGAAAGAAGTCAAGTTATGAACAAGCAGACACGTATTTATAGCCAGGAAAGAAAGTTATTTCAACGGAAACAGTCAATATTTCCTTTGAGTCTGTTAGTGCCCCGTCACCCTTTAACTGCTACCATTTCTGAGGGTTCCCAAAATTCTCCCCATAAACATCTTAGATTTATCCATATTGCTTTTGCTACTGAGGCATCACCTAAATTGTGACAATTAGAAGAGAAACGTTTGGAAGGGGGCCTTGGAATTCATCTAGTGTTCAATCTACTCAGTTGACAATGCGTGTACTGAGACTCAGAAAGAGGCAATGACCTAGCCAAAGTCACCAAACTAAAGGATGGCAGATGCCAGCACCTAGCTGCCTGCTAACACAGGAACACCGTCTTCTTCCATTTACAGGTCCATATCTACTTTAAAGAATTCTCAAATTTCCTTTCCCCATCTTCCAGTTACTAGGTAGACCAAAATTAACTTGTCCATTTTGTTTTGGAAGCCATCTAAACACTACCCTAGGATTCCTCTTTCACATGACATAATGTCAGAGAACTAGATGAGTGACAATAAATGGCAAAGCCAATGTTCCTTTCATGAGACATCAGTAAATCACAAGAGAGTCTAGAAACAATGCCAATTTGGCCATTTAGCAGTCTTGGCCCATGGGAGCCGCAGAAATAACTCTTTCGGTTTTAAGTATTTAAACTTCATTATCAGCCCATCCAGCATCGTGGGAGGGACAGGCCATATGTCCATTCCAGGACTCAGAATGTGCTATCACCAGAGAAATTACAAGAAGGATGGGAGGAAATAACCTTCCTCAAGCCTCTGATGTTCCCAGAAGGTCAGCTGCCGAAGTAATTAACATGTCTTCAAAAGTCAAGGCCAGAGTCTAGCTTCCAAAAGGACCGTTTTCTCTTAAGAAGATTATAGGGCAACAAAGAATGGGAGGGCTTTCCTGGTGGATCAGTGGTTAAGAATCAGCTCGCCAATGCAGGAGATAAGAGTTCAGTTCTTGGGCTGGGATGACCCCCTGGAGGAGGAAATGGCAACCCACTCCAGTATTCTTGCCTGGGAAATCCCGTGGGCAGAGGAGCCTGGCGGGCTACAGTACATGGGGTCACAAGAGTCGGACAGGACTTGGCAACTGAACAACAACAACAGAAAGAAACGGGTGAGGAGGGGAGCTGGCCCAGGCAGAGTTCTGCAGTAATCAAGTTTCCACACTCTCAAATAGCTACTGTGATGGCCACACGGCTCAACAGCACTCAGCCTTCACCCTCTAGCAGCGGCGAGCACGCCGAACCGGTAGTAAGGAGTCAGGATTCCTTTTTGCCCTTCCCGCTCACCCCATCACTCACCCCATCTGTGGCTGGGCTCACGTGACCTTTCCGACACTTCATCTTGGGTGTAAAAGGAATGGGGTGGGTCAGTTTAAGGCCCCTGCCTCCCAGCTTTAGTATAAACAGTAGTTAGAACAAGACTAAAATGAACTCGATTTTTAAAGTCAGGAAACCACTCTGCATTTCCTAATTAATGTGACCTGAAAGACACTCCCCTTCTCTCTTGACCTGAAAGACACTCCCCTTCTCTCTTGATGACACAATAATAAAGACAGCATAACTGGGAGATCAACAAGGAAAGTCATCTCTTCCAATTTCCGAGCTTTCCTCCCTCTCACACGCAAAGTAAACCTGAGCTATAAGGCTGGTGCTTAAACCTACCCTAACAAGTTCAGGGTAAACGTTTATCCCCCCACCCAGGACTTTTTGTGTGTGTGTGTGTTTTTTCATTACTCTTAGTTTGCTCTCTGAGTAGAGAAAAGTTGTGAATTCCCTGAACTGCGGGTAATTTTGAATTCTAGAGGACACTGGTGTATTTAAGTTAGTGGAAACTTCCAAGTAGCCCGGTTAGTAGGAAGAGAAAATAATTTTTTTTTCATAACCTAAAGTACAGAACACCACATAGAAGTCAAAAGAGGAACCACGAGTACATTATTTTCTCAGATACCTGACAAGATAGCAGATGAGGGATCAATTTAAAAAGAATGAATCACTCAAAGCCCTCTGCTTTTAAACTGTCCATGTCTATACAAACCATATTTATAACACTCAAAGAATGTGGAATATTACAGACGACAACAGCTTTTACTGAGCTACAAGAGAGATACTGTCAAAGAATCTGGGGTTAGAAAGTCTGATTTCCTTTGAATTATTATCTCATCACTAGCCAATCAAACCGTTTTGGGAAGTGAGCTGAACTAAATTTTTCTTCCAACCTTCTCTTAATGAATTTTTTAAACACCCTACTTAAAGCAGTTATATTGTATCTTAATGCTTTGTAAGTCTTGCTAAACTGTAGTCTCTAGGACAAAGGATTGTATCATATTAGTCTTCACATCCTCAGCCTTTAAACAAAACTTCCTGACATGTTAGATACTCTATAAATACACAGTGGAGACAACTGTGTGTGCTAAGCCCTCAACAGTCAACATGTAGTATCTACTTAATCCTCTCTAGTAAGGACAGGAAACCTATTTAATGATAGAATAAATTTTAATCCTCTCTTAACATCAAATCTTTTTAACTTATTTTCCATTCATTTCTCATTTACCTTTAAATTTCTCTCATTTCTAATCCCTGCTTTTCAAAGAAGCTGTCCCCAGGAAAGGTAGGGATGGATTTCAGGACCCACACTTTCTCTGGAGCCAAAGAGCCCAAGAATAACTGGCACAAAGGAAAGACAAAGAGCTGAGATGTCTCTTTTACCTCCAGGGTCAGAAAAAGGACAGGAACCCTGCCGCTGCAAGACTTGCCCAAAGTCCCATACATTCAGAACACTCTCCAACAATGCAGTGGGGATGGATTGAAGGGATGGCTGTGAATACTGAGAACGGGGAGAGGCTGATTACTGAATTTATAGGAAAGGGGAAGGAAAATTTATCTTTGGGTGCTATTAATTTTTAATCCTTTCAGGAGACACCAATCAGAATGTTTCCAGACAGCAAATACTACACCCACTTGATAGTAACAAATCAGTCCTGTGTACTACAACTGTCTTCCAAATGAGCTTAGAAGTAATAAACCGGAGCACTGTATAAATGATCCTCCAATCACTGTTGGCTAAAATTTAGGATAAGGTAATTTGCTCTCAAGTGCTATTACAGGCAATGTTATTAAATCTACTCATACTTTATCTAATTTTCAGAAACAACTGACGAAATGCAATTATAGTGATAACGCTGGTAAACATTCCACCAGGAAGCTGAGTTAATACTTACCATTACATGTCATATCCTGATGTAAAGTTAATTGAAAGATCCTTACACAATTCAAAAAATCTACTTCATCAGCAAAAAAAAACATTAAGGATTCGTTTTTTGGGCTCCTACAAAATTAGACTGCAAGGAGATCCAACCAGTCCATCCTAAAGGAGATCAGTCCTGGGTGTTCATTGGAAGGACTGATGCTGAAGCTGAAACTCCAGTACTTTTGACTGCAAGGGGATCCAACCAGTCCTTCCTAAAGGATAACCAGTCCATCCTAAAGGAGATCAGTCCTGGGTGTTCATTGGAAGGACTGATGCTGAAGCTGAAACTCCAGTACTTTGGCCACCTGATGCGAAGAGTTGACTCGTTGGAAAAGACCCTGAGGCTGGGAGGGATTGGGGGCAGGAGGAGAAGGGGATGACAAAGGATGAGATGGTTGGATGGCATCACCGACTTGATCGGCATTAGTTTGAGTAGACTCTGGGAATTGGTGATGGACAGGGAGCCCTGGCGTGCTGCAGTTCATGGGGTCACAAAGAGTCGGACACGACTGAGCGACTGAACTGATAATTAGACTAATGGTGGGAGAGGGGTGGGGGGAGAGTGGGTGGACACTTAAAAGAAGGATTCCAGAATAAAGAAGATACGGTGTGTGCATACACACACACACACACACACACACACTGGAATGTTACTCAGCCATAGAAAAGAATGAAATAATGCAATTTGGAGCAACATGGATGAACCTAGAGATTATCATACTAAGTAAATCAGCCATCCAGGCTCCTCTTTCATGGGGATTCTCCAGGCATGAATACTAGAGTGGGTTGTCATGCCCTCCTCCAGGGAATCTTCCCAAACCAGGGATCAAACCCAGGTCTCCCATACTGCAGGCATTCTTTACAGACTAAGCCACCAGGGAAGCCCAAGAATACTGAGCAGGTAGCCTATCCCTTCTCCAGGGGATCTTCCCAGCCCAGGAATCGAACCAGGTCTACAAATAACATATGATATCACTTATTCATATCACATATTCAATATCTTAAACTACAATGGAAAAGAATCTGAAAAAGTATATATAAACTGAATCACTTTGCTATACACCCGAAACTAATACACATTCTAAGTCAATTATATTTCAGTTAAAAAAATGAAAGATTCCAGCAAACCATCTGCAGAAGGAAGACAAGAAAGGCTAATCTGAGCTACAATTATTTGTTTCTATAGAAGCCTCTGTGACTCAGAGGGCAAATGAGTTTGGCTTATATACCACTCTAATGAATTTCACTAGCTCTCTGGAACACATACTTTGAGAAAGACACCGAGGAAATGCTGGGCAAAGCTGGAGAGATTATGTGTTACCAGTGTCTGTCAAGGATACAAAAACAAGAAGTGAGTATTCATTAGCTATAGATTTTCTATTTCTTTACTAAAATAGATCATACCAGTTTCATCTCTGTATCCCCAGAATGTGACAGCCTGGTACACAGTAAATGTTCAATAAATATTTCAGAATGAATAAAAAAGAAAAAAAATCAGACATTTTTTACCTTGGTTTCGAACAGGAGTAACAAAATTGATACCATGAACATTTCTCCAATCCCAGGATTTTGGCAAATGCAAAATCTTTTCCTGTATTTCAGCAGTTATTGGCGCAGGTTTGGGCCTAGGATGGAAATAGACACTTGACATCAATACATAAGTCTTTCCTTTGAGGATGATTTCCTTACCTTTAATCCCATAATTTCAACCACCTGGCTGGCTAGGATGTAGATTCAGATCCAAAGAACACTTGTCCATCAGTGTTTCAATGTGTCTATTATACAAAAATGTGTCTATTATACACGGTGTCCATTATACAACTAAGTTATATACATTGCCCATTTCTTTTTTTTTTTTAACTGTTACAATTATTTATTTTTCAATTTATTTATTTGGCTATGACCGGTCTTAGTCCTGGCATGCGGGATCTTTAGTTGCAACATGTAGGGTCTAGTTCCTTGACCAGGGATTGAACCCAGGCCTCCTGCATTGGGATCACAGTGTCTCAGCCACTGGCTACTGGGGAAGTCTCAAAATTACCCGTCTATTTTTCCGGATCTAGTAATTTTCCCCTGTGAAACAATATTGGTCTTATATATTGCCATTGCTAGTTTTAATATGCCTAAATAACAGCATTCTCTTACTTTTCATAGATTTTGACCCAAAAAAGTAGATATGGGAAATTGAAGATGCCCTACAAAGGATTTAGAGAAAACAGAGGAATTACTGAGGTTTGACTCTACAGAGGGTGGTGATGGTAGTCACAAAAGAAGAGAAAGGCAAAGAAATACAGGATGTAAGTAGAAGAAGGCAGACCAGGTCAATAAACAGATAAAAGTCAGACACAAAGACACCTACAATGGCTTCACCACTTCCTAGCTGTGTGACACTGGTCAAAGAACTTAATATCATAAACAGTATGTTTTTCTACAATTTCAGCAGCTTCAGTTTCAGAGATTCAGGTTAAGAATCTCTGAGAGTTTCTATTATGTCATTGGATTCTTTCAACAGATCTAAAGGAGATCCATCCTGGGTGTTCATTGGAAGGACTGACGCTGAAGCTGAAACTCCAATACTTTGGCCACCTGATACGAAGAGTTGACTCATTGGAAAAGACCCTGATGCTGGGAGGGATTGGGGGCAGGAGGAGAAGGGGACGACANTTTTTTTTTTTTTTTTTTTGAGATGGGTAGAATTACGAGAGAATGCTATCAGTCGGACAGGAAAAAAAACTCCATACAGTCTCAGAGTAGAAAAATCTCAATTATGATTATTAGTCTGCAGAAGAAAAATTTAGCAATGAATCTTATTGCTGTTGTTCATTTGTGAAGTTGTGTCCTACTTAGTGACCCAATGGACTGCAGTACGCCAGGCTCCTCTGTCCTCCACTATCTCCTGGAGTTTGCTCAAATTCATGTCCACTGAGTAGGTAATGCTATTTAACCATATAATCCTCTGATGCCCCCTTCTCCTCCCGCCCTCAATCCTTCCCAGCATCAGGGTCTTTTCCAATGAGTTGGCTCTTTGCATCACGTGGCCAAAGTATTGGAGCTTTAGCTTCAGCGACAGTCTTTCCAATGAATATTCAGGACTGATTTCCTTTAGGAGTGATCTCCTTACAGTCCAAGGGACTCTCAAGAGTCTTCCCTAGCACTTCGATTCAAAAGCACCAATTCTTTGGCATTCAGATTTCTTTATCATCCAACTCTCACATCTGTACATGACTACTGGAAAAACCATACCTTTGACTATATGGACTTTGTTGGCAAACTGATATCTCTGCTTTTCAATACACTGTTTAGATTTGTCATAACTTTCCTTTCAAGGAACAAGCATCTTTTAATTTCATGGCTACAGTCACCATCCTCAGTGATTCTGCAGCCCAAGAAAATTAACCCTTCTATTTGTCATGAAATGGTAGGACCATATGACATGATCTTAGTTTTCTAAACGTTGAGTTTTAAGCCAGCCTTTTCACTCTCCTCTTTCACCTTCATCAAGAGGCTCTCTAGCTCCTCTTTACTTTCTGCTATTAGAGTGGTAAATAGTTGTTGATATTTCTCCCAGCAATCTTGATTCCAGCTTGTGATTCATCCAGTCTGGCATTTGTCCAGCAATGTATTTTAGTTAACCATTAATCTATCAGTGGTCTGTTTAAGCAAGAAAACTTGAACAAAGGACTCTATAGCTACTAAGAAAATAATCATTATAGTCTCTGAATATTAGAAAATGCTTTGATATACTAAAAGAAAATAACCTAGCTACACAATTTATTGAGCCCCATTAGTTTTTCCAGTTGGTTTTCCTACCCTCCAGTTACATCAATTTCTCCTGCAGCAAGGTACGGCATTACAAGAATGTCGCTGGTCATTTAATAAATGTTAAGGGACTACGTATGCTCAATTCAGCTATAGTTTTTAGGGAGTTAAAGAAATCTACGAAAACTCCTGACTATATAAATTCAAAGAATGATATAATTTCCCATCAGATGCATATCATGGGGTATGTAAACTAAGATGGGAAATGCCACTTCTGTCTGAAGGCAGGAGAAGTATATTGATAAATATGTAACTTTTTTTTTTTTGGCTGGACCTCAAAACTGAGAAAGGATTTTGAGATTTTTACAGGTGGCAAATTTGATGGTTTTTATAGGCAAGTTCAGGGGTATGTGAGGCAAAGAGAGTTTCATGAATGGTGGTAGATAAAAGTTTTCAGTAATTTTTTGTCGTATTGTTTGAAAGCAGGTCAAGGTGGTAAACAGAGTTGTGGTCAAATTTAGATGGTTTTGATTACTAGGCTAAATTTACTCCTGAGACAACAGGTAGTAACCTGATCACAGCTGAAGATAGTAAGATATACCTGGCAGTATTTCATAGAGTGGCTAAGAATGGGGACAGGGAGGGACAGAGATCAAAAGGACAGAAGGCAGGAAGCTGATCCATCATACAAGCAAGAGACAGGGCCCTCCAGCCAAAGTGGAGAAACAGGAAGAAAGCAAAGCCCATAAACAGGACCTGGAGAACATCAGAACATGTGTGAACAGGAGAGGGGCACAGTCAGAGAAAAGATGATATAAACATCACAGCTGGGACGACCAATAAAGCAGTGAGCAACCCAAGGAGGGCTGGTTAGAAGGGAGGGCATCAATGAACACAGATCTTTATTCGTGACAGAGGTGCTTTATTACCTTGGAATTCTCCGGCTGTGGCCACCACCTCTCCTGATCATCTCTTTGAGGGTAAGACTCTCATATTCCACGTATGGGGCTGCAGTCCAAGACTTTTGAATGGCGTTGATAGCTTTCACGAAGTCATGGTTATATCTGTAGAGCCTATTAGAATACCTGCCAACAAAAGTAAGATGGCTTCAGATACACTCTTCACCGAGGTAAACAGATCCCATTAAAAGAGGCACTCATACTCCAGGCCTGAGTATAAAGTGATCTAATCTTTCAGGAAGGCAACTGGGTATATCAGTCTCTATATCTCTACATTTATATCTGTAGCCTAGAACTGGAATGTGTCCTATGAAAATAAAATTTAAGTGAACTAAGATAACTGTATAAGGATGTTCAGTGAAACACTTTTATACTAGTAACAGATTATAAACATAAATTCTAAAAGAAAGAATGGGTTAAATAAATAATGGCACTTCATTTGCTATACAGTTTATTCAGTAAAAATGTCTGGAAGATTATTTAGTGATATGGGAGAATGGTCACACTATATTAGACAAAAAAGCAGACTATCAAAGAAGTTGACCCAGCATGGATCAATTTTTGTGAAAGTGTACATTTATATTGATACTATAAAGTACATACAACCAAGGTTATCTCTGAGTGGTAACACAGAATCACACCCCTATTAATACAATTTCTACAATGTACCTTTTAACCTTGGCAATGATAGAAAAAAGGTGGGGAAGACAGCAAAACTGTATTCAATGTGTATATGTGGCACAGTGGAAAAGAATCTGCCTGCTAATGCAGGAGGCAAAAGAAACTCAGGTTTGGTCCCCGGGTCAGGAAAGTCCCCTGGGGGAAATGGCAACCCACTCTAGTATTCTTGCCTGGAAAATTCCATGGACAGAAGAGCCTGGAGGGATACAGTTCATGGGGCTACAGAGTTGGACACAATTGAGCACACACACATCACCTTTTAAATTTTGCAATAATAAAAAGGGGGTGGGGTGAAGTACAGCAAAAGTGTATTCAATGTATATACAGCAAGGCAAGTATTAGAACCACTTGATGAAAAAAAGGTTGTTCCATATGGACAAGGTTTATATCCTTGTCACTGAGATTTGGTTCTCGAGCCAGTATCAGCAGAAGCACCTGGAAGCTTGCTAGAAACGCAGAATCTAAATGTCAATCCAGGCCACCTGAATCAGAATCTACATTTTAACAGGATTCCCAGATGATTCACAGCAACATTAAAGACTGAGAGGCACTGGTTTAACTGATGCCAAATGCTTGGACAGAAATGTAAACAAATCTAATACACAAAGAGCATGTTTACAAAGGCAAAAGATTGAGGGAGTTGATCATTCATTTAACTCAAACATGTATTACACCTATGTGCCAGGTGCCAGGAATTACAGAATTCACCATGTTATTTCTACTAAAAAAAAGTTCTATGACTTAAGTATGACTCACTATCCATATAGTGTATGGATAACTTCATACACTATACATACATATAAGTTATACATATAGTGAATAAGTTATACTTATTATATGTTATATTATGTAAGTTGTTATATATTATATAACTTATTATATAAGTTATATTCACTCTAAGTTATACATATAGTGAATGTATAACTTCCATTAACATTCAGTTATACAAAGCAAGGTATACCTAACCTGAGTAACTTTAGGTATACTGTCAACTTTTCTTTCTCTTTTAATTCAGATGTTCACAGAGTATTGAGATATAACCAAACAACCTGGATGCACTGGAAATAATAACAAAAATGTGCAATTACATTGATAATGTTTTAATGTTTTTATCAAAGTACTTTCCCACTTTTTTCAAAGTGAGAAATCAGAGAGGTACATTTACTAAACATAAAACTCTCTGTACTCTATTTTCGACAAACTAACAAACAGCAAAACCCAGTTACCGTTGTTTTTTCTTAAAACACAGGTTCAGTTCAGTTGATCAGTGGTGTCCCACTCTTTGTGACCCCATGAACCAGGGGGTTCAGGCACGCCAGGCCAGGCACGCCAGGCCAGGCACGCCAGGCCTCCCTGTCCATCACCAACTCCCGGAGTTTACTCAAACTCATGTCTGTCGAGTTGGTGATGCCATCCAACCATCTCATCCTCTGTCGTCCCTTTCTCCTCACACCTTCAATCTTTCTCAGCATCAGGGTCTTTTCAAATGAGGCAGTTCTTCGCATCAGGTGGCCAAAGTATCGGAGTTTCAGCTTCAGCATCAACCCTTCCAATGAATATTCAGGACTGATTTCCTTTAGGATGGACTGGTTGGATCTCCTTGCAGTCCAAGGGACTCTCAAGAGTCTTCTCCAACACCAAAAGTCAANCCTTCCAATGAATATTCAGGACTGATTTCCTTTAGGATGGACTGGTTGGATCTCCTTGCAGTCCAAGGGACTCTCAAGAGTCTTCTCCAACACCAAAAGAAACATGTTTTAAATTGTAAATATCTATCTTGAGATCTGACCATTAAGAGCTGAAAGAGACCTTGACGGTAACATAGTCCTAAATGTTTATTTTACAAGTGAGGCAACATAGATTCTGAGCACTCTGGTTGTAGCTTCTTCACTAAATGAGGCAATGCTTGAAATATCAGAAAAGTACATAGTACATAGTATATCCTAAATGGTAGAGTGAAAAGTGAGCAGCTTCATAGGAAATGTCACTCAAGGGTCAAGCCAAGCAAAGCAACTTAAAATCTATGTTCAAATGGAGGGGATGAATTGGTCTAAATCGTGGGGGGGGTGCCTCCCCATACAAGAGCAATCTGTCCTCTTTGAACTCACACCCCACTTTTCTGCTGCAGAGTCCTTCACTCCCTGTGTGGCCTGGCTTTGGGTGATCTGCTCATATACACTTTCAGGGGATTTCACAGTCAAATAAAACAGAAAATATGCTACCAATAATATTTATCTTTTCCTTCCAAATTAATAAAGTCTGAAATCTCTTGTGTGGTTCACAGTGACTTACACTGGACCTGAGTTAGGAAAAATATTAACTGTTATAAGCTAAATTCATGTGTTCACGTCCTAAACTTCAGTATATCAGAATGTGACTACATTGAGAGACATGGCCTTTAAAGGGGACATCAAGGTTAAATGAGGTCACATGGCTGGGCTCTATTCCAGTATGACTGGTGTGTGTGTGTGTGTGTTTGCTCAGTTGTGTCTGACTCTTTGTGACCCCATGGACTAAAGACTGCCAGGCTCCTCTGTCCCTGGGATTTCCCAGGCAAGAATACTGGAGCAGGTTGTCATTTCCTTCTCCAAGGGATTTTCCCGACCCAGGATCAAAGCCAAGTCTCTTGCATCTCCTGCATTACCAGGTGGATTCTTTACCACTGGGCCACCTGGGAAGCTCACATGACTGGTATACTAGTAAGAAACGGAGATTAGAACATAGGCTGAGTGTGTAGGGACAATGGTTAGCAGCCATCTGCAAGCCAGGGACAGAGCCCTCAGAAGAAACCAAAGCTGCTGACACCGTGGCCTTGGACTTACAGCCTCCAGAACTATGAGAAAATAAATCTCTGTTGCTTAAACCAGTCTGTGTGATCTGTTATATTAGCCTCAGCAAACTAAAACATTACATAAATAATAAGAACTCTAAACTCAGTTATTTATTGCCTTGTTTAAGATTTATGTTCGATTAGTATCGCCTATATTTGATGCAAAATAAACATATGTATCTGCAAGGATTCTGCAACATCTTATTGTGCTGTGCTGTGCTAAGTCACTTCAGTCTTGTCCAACTCTTTGCAATCCCAGGGACTGTAGCCTGCAATCTGTCCATAGGATTTTCCAGGAAAGAAAACTGGAGTGGGCTGCCATTCCATGCTCCAAGGGATCAAATCCCTGTCCCTATGTCTCCCTCAATGGCAGGCAGGTTCTTTACCACTAGGGCCATCTGGGAAGCCTGCAACATCTTATTACGTGGCAATAATAAAATGATTTTTCTGTATTAGGATTAGTTCAGTCACTCAGTCGTGTCTGACTCCTTGTGACTCCATGGACTGCAGCACGCCAGGCTTCCCTGTCCATCACCAACCCCTGGAGTTTACTCAAACTCATGTCCATCGAGTCAGTGATGCCATCCAACCATCTCATCCTCTGTCGTCCCCTTCTCCTCNTGACGTACTCCTTTCCTGATTTGGAACCCATCTGTTGTTCCATTTCCCTGTATAAGTCACTGCAATTCTATGGTCCTTTATATAAATATTCTTTAAAGCCCTCATTGGTCCATTACTTTTGAAGTATTTTGAAAAAATACTTTCTTCTCTCAGTTAAATCACAACATATTTTTCCATTTTACATAACATGGCTTGTGTTTCTAAGTCAAATAAAGTTAATATAATCAAATTAAAATTTCCAAGTATTAATATAGACACATCTTTATAAACACCATAAAAAACTAAATGGATCTTTCATTGACGACAACTCACGTTTCCTCAAGACCCGCAAGGCGTGCTGTGTTCATGTTCATGTTCTCAGAGTTATTTCCTGTCTTCCTTCCGGTGAAACAGGCCCAGTTCCGGCCCAGCACGTCATGGACCCAGCCAGTCATGGTCTCGTGGCAGTAACTGGTTACCTTGCCGCCCTCTTCTTTATACTGCAGTCAAACAAGAGAAGGAAAAGCCCCATGAGCCTGTTCTCTCTCAGGTCCGTTTCCTGGTCTCTCATTCACAGTAACAATGCCTCTTTTTCGTTTCACCTGAAGGGCCAGCCTCTGTCAGCCAAAACAAAAACTGAAAGGTTTCAGTCTGAGAACTATTCTAGAAGAGGAAGAGAAAGAAACACTTCTAGGATTAGCATCACTGACCACTGAGAAAAATTTGCACAACCAACACTTCAACAGAATGAAAGGCAGGTAAAGAAAATATTTTTAAAGTAGCTGCATTCCAAGGCACTTTACCAAAGTTACCTCATTTAATCTTCTTGGCAAGCCTCTGAGATCAGCACTAATAACCCCAATTGACCAGTGAGTAAGCGGAGGCTCATCTCAGAGACAGCAAGCAGTCCCTACCTACGCTAACAGAGCTGTGACGGGGCAGAAACAACAAAATCCTGCTCACTTTCTCAGACTAGTCCACTCAGAGAAGAAGCACGCCAGCAAAATACAAAAACCTTCTGAAGAATTCAACTTTTTTCTTCTGTCAACCTCCCAACTTCTTAGCAAATTCTAATCATGAGGGAGTTAAAATATCCTAATTATTAAATATTCTCTCCACTTTATTTCACTAACACAGCCTGTTGTTTTATACCAGTGTTGATACTGAAAAATAACTACAGCTGTTCCTTGAAGATTGCAGGGGCACCAATACACCACGGGCAAAAATCCACATATCATTTTTCACTCATCCATCTATAATTTTTCAGTCATCCATCTGTATCCTGGGTGCTGTGTCCAAGGAATCAACCAACCTTGGCTCATGTAGTACTGTAGTGTGTATTTATTTTTAAAAAATATGAATATAAGTGGACCTGTGCAGTTCAAACCTATGTCATTCAAGGATCAACTGTATAAAGTGATAGATCAATAACTCAGATACTTTGGCTCCAGAGCTTACTTAAAAAAACCCTCATGTTTTAATATATCCTTATGGAGGAAGGATATATAATCCTGCATGAAAGTAGAACGCATGGGAGGAGGAAAAAAAAAAGCATGGTGAATTTTTTTAAGAAGGGACTTGAATACAGACAGTTTCAGGCACTGACTTCATGGAACAGAAGGACAAAAGCAGTCAAAGGCAACACAAACATGAGCACAGGCAACTGTGTTTCAATGCTTTTCTTTACAAAGGCACACAGTAAGTTGGTTTCGGCCCACAGGATGTAGCTTGTGGACTCTTAATCTAACATAATGGATACACTTTACCTGTGCTAGGTGGTTTGAGTAAGGGCCAAACAGTAAATATTTTAACATTTGCAGGTTATAAGGCTTCTGTCAGTATCACTCAACCCTGCCCTTGCAGTGTGAGAGGTACACCAGAAATACATAAAGGAATGAACCACAGTCTGTTCCAACTAAACTTCATTTACAAAAAGACCCATGATTTGCAAATCCCAAGTTTAAAGGAATGTATAAGCTGAACTACACTTAAAGGTAAAACTACCTTACTGCATCTGAGTCTCTGAATTCAAATTATATTTAGGCGTAGAGTAAGAAAGGCTTCCCTGGTGGCTCAGTAGTAAGGAGTCTGCCTGCCAGTGGAGGAGACGTGGGTTTGATCCCTGGTGTGGGAAGGAGAAAATGGAAACCCACTCCAGGATTCTTGCCTGGAGAACCCCAGGGACAGAGAGACCTGCTGGGCTACAGTCCGTGGGATTGTGAAGTCAGATATGACTTAGTGACTGTATAACAACATGAAATTTAAAATGCATGATCTTAGAATCCACAAGAGCTAGGTCTGGATCCTGGGATTCACCACCCAGTAGGTTGCACTGGGTGAGTGACTGCGGGATACTCACATGTACATTTTGCTCTGTCTTGGTGCTTCGTGATACTGTGAAGCTCGCGTCCCTACCCTGAGCTAAGAATATCTGTCCCTACCCTGAGCATAGGTTTGACTCACCATTCCTCATGTCCCTGCTAAAGCCCCAACTTAGGACAAAGGAACACTGAAATAAAGGTCTAGGATATGATCGGGCTGCAACTCTGGAGGGTATGTCACGTGAAAAAGTTCATAAAGTTCATATTTATTATGGTGAAGTACCTGAAACTATTTTCATTGATCAAAACCATTTAACATTGGTAACCTCATATGATGCGGACAGGCCAGGCAGGGTTAGGCCACTACTCCCCCCACCACTGCTGTAGAATTCAAAAAGACATGCACCGAAATCTTCACTGCAACACTATTCACAACGGCCAGGACATGGAAGCAACCTAAATGTCCACTGACAGATGAATAAAGAAGATGTGGTACATATATATAAAGGAATATTACTCAGCCATAAAAAGGAACAGTCAGTTCTAGTGAGGTGGATGAACTCAGAGCGTGTTATACAGAGTGAAGTTAAGTCAGAAAAAAAACAAATATCATACATTAAAGCATATGTATGGAAACTAGAAAAATAATACTGGTGAACCTATTTGCGGGGAAGGAAATGGAGACACAGACATAGAGAACAGATTTGTGGATACATCAGGGGAAGGAGAGGGTGGAATGAATTGAGAATGTAGCATTGACATATATATACCCATCATTGAACATAAAATAGACAGCTGATGGGAAGTTGCTATATAACACAGGGAGCCCAGCCTGGCATTCTGTGATGACCTACAGGGGTTGGATGGGTGAGAGAAGGGAGGCTCATGTGGGAGAGCTTGTGCGCTAAGTCGCTTCAGTTGTGTCTGGCTCTGTGCAACCCCATGGACTATAGCCCGCCAGGCTCCTCTGTTCATGGGATTCTCCAGGCAAGAACACTGGAGAGGGTTGCCATGCTCTTCTCCAGGGGATCCTCCCCACCCAGGGGTTGATCCCACGTCTCTTACAGGTCCTACATTGGCAGGCAGGTTCTTCACCACTAGTGCCACCTGGGAAGTCCCACGTGGGGAGGGGTTTTATGTATAAAATTATGACGATTTGCATTGCTGCAGAGCAGAAACCAATAACATTGTAAAGCAATTTTCCTCCAATTAGAAAAAAAAAAGTAATCTGACAAGGCTTTAAGAGTTTTCCAGATAACCTTGTTGAAAGTATCATATACACATGAATGAAAAAAAAACAAAACACTAAACAGGAGGATGTCCATCACAGTGGAAGGGGCTGGAGCAGGCTGCTCGCTTTCATAAACAGCGCTGCTGGCACTCAGCCGGCCTCCGTGTTTACCGTATCCTGACTCTGGCTGCTTTGGTGCAACAGCAGCAGGAGTGAGGAGCTGCAACAGGGGCTGAAAGGCTCATAAAGACCATCTGCCCTGCAAGAAAGTGTGCTGACCTCTCTGTTTAGGACAATTTAAAAAGAGAGAGAGAGAGAACCTGGGAACTCCCTGGCAGTTCAGCGGTTAGGACTCCACACACCCACCACCGGGCGCCCAGGGTTGAGTCCTGCTGCGGTTCACGGGGTTACAAGGAGTCAGACACGACTGGGTGCCTGGACAACAACAACAGGGAAATAAAATCCTACAACTTCGCAGTGTGTCCAGAGAAAAAACAAAACAACCCAAGACCTAGTAACAGAAAAAAAATGACAAGATGGTACTTAAGTGGAATGTAAATATCCAAAATTTGTATTAATATGAAATATGGTTTTTAAAAAATGAAAGGTGAAAACAGCCTTTGGGTGGGATTTTCTTGGTTATTTTTTTTATTTTTCTTGGTTATTTATAAAAAAGTTATATTAAAAAGTTATATAAAAACTTTTAACTTTATAAAGTTATATATTTATAAAAAGATAAATTTTGTAAAGCTCATCGCTTAAAAAAAATTCTATTTCCTAAGAATGAGAAACATGCCAATAAAGTCCTAGAAAAGAACATCTATGAGGGATGGTCCAGATGTTGCTAGAATAACTTCGCTCTGGCTGGGATTATGGTTAAGTTTCTTGAAAAAAACAAACAAACAAACATTATTTATATATCCTATTGGACTGCAAGGAGATCAAACCAATCAATCATAAAGGAAATCAACCCTGAATATTCATTGGAAGGACTGATGCTGAAGCTGAAGCTCCAACATTTTGGCTACCTGATGCAGGGAGTTGATTCACTGGAAAAGACCCTGATGCTGGGAAAGACTGAAGGCAGGAGAAGAGGGTATCTCCAACTCAAGGGACATGAATTTGAACAAACTCCAAGAGATAGTAGAAGACAGGAAAGCTTGGCATGCTATAGTTCATGGGATCGCAAAGAGACGAAAGTGACTCAGTGGCTGAACAACAAGCCCTTTCACTTATATATCAAATGCTTCTTGGTCCCATGAGATTTCCCAGGCATCACGCTCAGTGCTAGCCATGCCCACACTGTATACTGATGTAGCTCCAGACCTTAAGACAATGGGAACTCCATGAAATATGCAAGCATGTAATTAATGGGGTTATTTGTCTGAAGCAAAACCATGTGGTTCAGCAAGTTAACCATGCTTGGAAAAGCCTGGGAAACTTCCCCAGCAATTTAGATCATAGATGAAATGACTTTCCCAACATACCAAAAGTTCAAGTCATTCAAGTTAGAAGAAATGCACTCCATGTATTTCATCAGTGTGGCTTTGTTTGCCTAGTTGGCACAGTTAGTCACAGTTATAAACATGATTGCTAGTACAAAATGAATTTCCCTTTGAGGGGAAGGCTGAGTTGTTACTTTGACTGGAGAAGAAGAAAAAAAAAATCCTTGAAACATGACCAACTGTGCTAAAGATCTTTACAGTTCATATTGATCAATGACTCTATACCCTTCATCATCAATATTATGGAACTCATAATATTGAGTCTTAACATTTACTTATCATGTCATACTTTATATACATTTTACAGATCACTCATAAAATCTTAGAGGTTCAACAGAACATAAAGGTATAGACTCGGGGGACAGAAAAGAGACCTAAAAAAGGTGGCTGAACTAGAATTTAGAACCGAGGACTCTAGAACCAAGTGTTCTTCCCAAATACCA